CAATGTATCAATATTGAAACCGATATGATTCTCGTTAGGGTCATTGAAACGAGGGTCGAATCGAGTATCGAATTCAACGGCGACGAAGTTTGTAGGAAGGCCAAAAGGAGAAAAGGAAGGAGATGAGGAAGATGTTGATGAGAGATTATTGGGGGAGAGGAAGAAACAGATGCCATCACCGAAGGAAGTGGGGTTGGGGTTTGTGATGGAGAAAGAGAAGGTTGTTGAGAATGAAGACGTGGTGTTTGTTTGTTTGTCAAAGAGAGGGATTGGGTTCTTGTAAAGGATTGCACCGGTGCTGAATGTGGTTGGTTTTGTTAGTGAAATGATGTGGTTGGTGAGAGAGGAATCGCCGGTGAAGGTGAGGTTTGTGGTGGTGAAATAAGGGAAGTCTAGTTGGATGTTGCCGGTGACGGCGAGGATGAAGGTGGAGAAGAGAGTAAAGAGAGTTGGTTTGAAGGGGTGCATTGTGGTGGTTGCTTGGAGAAGAAGAAACAAGAATGGGAAATGGTGGAAGAAGAGAGTGTTGACGCGGGAATTGTGAGTTAGGTTGTTTCGGTACAGAGTTTGATTGTAATGTGGGGTGGTTTTCGCAAGAGAGAGTGGGTGCTAATAGCCTAATAAATTTCAAAGATATTTATTACTAGGATATGAAATTAGGCTAGATATTAAAAAATGGACCAAAATTTCCTTTTTAAGAAAGTATGGAGAGGGTAAAAGCAGCTTCTTAGTTTTATTAGGTGTTGTTTTTCCTACTCTTAGTGTCAGTGGTCAAGACTTACATTTGTAAAATTTAAAATTGTTTTTTTTTTTTTTAAAATACTCGACAGTACACTTTTAGGGATGCAATTCTGCCTATTTTATTTTGTTAAAAATTAGTCTAAAAACATATCTTCATATTAATGAAATAATGGATCTGTATGTGTACTTTCGTAATAATATTCAAATACATTTTTAAATTTATGATAGTGTATTTATTTCATAACTCAGAGAATAGTTCAGAAATATACTTCATTAATAGTCTTTATGTAGTAAGTTTGTAAAAAATTTGACATTTATTAATAAATCGTATATTTTAGACTATTTATACCAAGTATACTGTCAAAATAAGTTTTTTATCAATTAAATCATACACAGACTAATGTAGTTCAATTAAGATGTCGTGTATTAATTTGACTGGGCCTTACGGAGGGGTAGTTTACGAGAAAAGCCATTAAGGGAGTGAGAGACTAGGCGTTCAAAGGTGTACAACGAAGCTATAAGACTGTTCAAAATGGGCCAAAGGGTCATCTAGATGCGACAATACAATTAACCCAATTGGATTCCCATCACCCAGTAGATGTGGATGATGACAGGGACCCACAATGAATGACTAACTAAAGAGAGTCAGTCATGAGGGGGAACCACTTCCTCCATAATTGTAAGAAGACTAAGTTTTCCCTTGACCACATTCTTGGTCATGAATGTGGACATAACCGGCTACTAACTTTACAATCCAAGCCTGAAAGAGTCTATATAAATACCTCTTTTCAAAGGGAGAAGAGAGACATATTATCAAATGATTCCCATTTACAACTACTCAACATCACTATGCTTTGAGTAATCATACCATCGTCACAATGTTCGCTCACCTGCAATTTAGCAGCGCCGACCATCAACAGAGTCTTTCACCCTACGTGAGTTGGTCTTTTAAACATCCTCAAAAACCACCGTACATGACTACTCGCGGCCGTGAGGTAGTAGAAAGATGAAAGTTGTTAAAGTTCAAACTAAGTATTTCTTTGCAAAAATATTTTTGAGAACTATTGACCATTCATCTTCAAACACTAATTTATTTTCATTCACATCACTCTCTTGTTTAAGGAGATTGACAACATGACTCTCATTTATCTCTTTTTCTTCAATATCAATATTTTGTGGAAATTTCTCTTAACTAGACACTTATTCAACCTCTTGCTCAAAAAAATTATCAAAATTGACAAATATTTAAGGTGAGAAAATATGAAGGACCTTGCAAGTATTTTTTGGAAAAATACTCTCATTTTCTCTTTCACTTTGTCTCTAAAATCATTTTTCTCATTCTTTTTCTTTTAAATAGTATTACTACTACTTATTTTTTTTCTTCATTCTTTACCTTTATTTTCTCCTTTTCTCTCAAATTTAACTTCTTTATTTTCTTGCTACTTGCTTATGTCCATTTTCATCAAGACATTTTAGATACTCCAGATACAATACAAAATCTCGAATAGAATTTTTATATAACATTTTTTTCTTTAGCACTTTTCTTATATTCTCTATGTCGTTTCTCTATTACATTTATCTTATTTCCTCTTTTTCTCTCTCTAAGTTTTTAAGTCTTCTTTCTTTTTCTCTGTCTTTTTTTGCATATCTTATTTCTTCCTCACCGTAATATCTAACACCATATATCATCATATTACCGAGAAAAAAATGCAAGTAACAATAAAAACAAAAGAACTTTTCCACACAACTAAATGTTTACACTTTTGAATTTATCACTTTTGTTTCATTCGATTTATGATTTCTCAAATACATGCACTGTTGAATTTTTCTAGTCAAAGTCCTATTTTCAAATTCTTAAAAAGGAATCAAAATAAGAATAACAACACTCCAAATATAATGCAACAAATCCACATGTTTTCAACAAGAGAGTTCAAATAAGAAGTACTATAAGACAAGACAAGCTGAATTTTTAAAGACAAACAAAAAAAGTTAAGCTTAGAAAAACACACTCAAAAACATTATGAATGAAACAACTTAAGAAATGATAAAAATAACTAAATGATTTAAATATGTAAATGACACCACTATGAGTAAAGAAATGTACTAATATCAAATTTATAATGTATAATAGTAAGAAACAAAATCGATGTATCAAATTGAACAATTTTAAAAATTTAAGTAATTTTTTTAAATGAATCTTTTTTATGTGTTATTGTGCATAATTACTTTTTAAGCCTTTTTTTATTTTTTTTGCATATTTGAATTCCTTTCATTTTTCTAATAAACATAGACTTTTAAATTTTTACAATCAAACATGTATTAAAGAAATAACATTAAAAATAAGTTTACATATGAAATTATGGATCAAACAATTGTAAAGGAAGGAGATGAAACCCAGAATTTTTTCTATTTTGTCAAAAACAAAGCAAGTAATCACCGAGTAAACTCTCCAACACATATAATAACACTTATAAAGAAAAAAAAAATACTGAACTACTCAAATTAACTATTATGATTTATCATTAATTCAAATTGATATAACTTGCATGTATAACTATAAAATAAATAATTAAAATTACATAAGAAAATTAAAAATTAAAATACTTTTGGATGAACTTTATTGCAAATAAAGTCATGTGGTTTGAATTGTTTTGAGATAAAAACTCAATCAATTAGAAGATAAATTTATTTATGATTTGGTTAAATTTTAGATGATTGATTAAAAAATTCAATTTAATCTGATCCAATTTCTTACCTTTAATTTGAATCGATTTTTAGATATAAATTAAAATTATATTTTTATTTAGATTATAAAAATACTAATAAATAATATATTTGGTATAATATATAACATATAATATATTAAAAATTAATATTGTAAAATAAGAATGATAAAAATAATTAAATTGAGCTAAATTAATAAATAACATTAAAAAAAACATGTATTATCGGATAATAAATTATCATAACATATCACATTAATAAAAATAAATAAATATAAAAATTATACAGATCGATTTAATTTGAATAAGTTTTAAAAAATCAATTGAAAACTCAATATGAACCTAATAATTTTTACAAAATGACATCATAACACATTTAATAATACTTGATTTTTTAAAAGTTTTTCTTTTTAAAATCGATTTTCAATTTTAATTTGAATTTATTTGAATTTGAATTCCTAGCCATTATTACGACGCACATGTAATTATTTTGGAGGAAAGAATTGTCTAATAAATTAACTTTTCAAAAGGAAAGAGAAATAAAGGAATATATACTTACAAATATTTTATATTTTTTATTAAAAACGTATATTCGGTCTCATGACACTTTTATTTTAAAATATTGTTATAATTTAATATTTTAAATTAATTTAATTGAATATTAATATTGATAATGCACTACTCTTAAATTTTTTAAAAACATTAAATTATATTGAAAAGATTATATTTTAAATTAATTAATTAAATTTTTTATACATGCAATAAAATTTTATTAATTTGTCATTTCATCAAGGTAATTTTAAAATTAAAATGAGATGCGGCAGAATATACGTTGTTGATTAATTGATAATACAAAATAATTTTATACAGTTTATTATATATATATATATATATATATATATATATATATATATATATATATATATATATATATATATATATATATATATATATATATATATATATATATATTTAATATATGAAATTTACAGAAAGTATTGCGGTAGAAATTTGTGATACTATCTTTTTGGCGGAGTTTTGGGAAGATCGTTGGTGTTGGCGGTGAACGTTGTGGTTTTGCCGTGGACATGGTTCGGTGTCTGTGTTGAACATTGAAACGGGTCGTAACCGGTTTTCGCAATTAGGATAAAATTGGGTTATGGGTCAGTTTTCATTTAAAATAATCTGGGAAAGTTTCTACGCTATTTCATTCCTCTAAACACGTTGCGGCAGTCGTGTAAGCCCAAGAGAGTGTAGAAGACCCTGAAATTGAAATTGCTTAATTGCTTTTGCTCAACTCGCTTTTTAATCGCCTTTTTCTCCCTCGTTCCAGTGAGTATCAAATTCTTACCATCATAATTCATTTAAAATTCTGTTTTCTTTTTTGTTCTTATTCTAGTCCTTTAGCAAAACTACTGAGTTCATTGATCTTATTTTCTTCTTTTTGGTGCATGAGTTAATCAAGGAAATAAATGAAATATATTCTGTTTTGTGTTGAGATTTTATTATTACTTGTGTTTCTAATGATTTCAGGTCATGGATGTTGCATTGCCATTGGATAAGTTAGCTTTAGAACTGATTAGTAATGAACCCTCCCATGGAAGCACAGCCAAGTAGATTTCTTTATTATATACTTAGTGCAATTGTGTGAGAGATTTTTCTATTCAACTTATTCTGAATTATGTAACAATCTTTTTCTGCAGTGGCAAGATATATGTCATTCTGGTGGCAACTGGAAGCTTCAATCCACCTACTTTGATGCATTTACGCATGTTTGGTGAGTTTCATTTCAAGCTTTTTGATTCATTCCTTTTTGTTTCTATAAGCATGCTCTTTGTGGCAAATTGTTATCTCACACTTCCCATAGGCATCTATGACAGTTTAGCTTGTCAAATAAAATCTAAATGATTTTATTTAATCACTTCTTGATTTTAACTTCATTCTTCAAAATGTTGATTGTTAAATAATGTTACATTGTAGTGGAATTAAGGGGATAGATTAACAGTCAGGTTCATCATGTGAAAAGATAATGGACTGAAATTATTGCTGGATTAGTGTAGATGCATAGTGTGATAATCGTTTACCATTGACGGAGGTTTTCGAAGGAGAAGTATGTGCAAATTCCAATTATGAAATTCTTGCTAAAACACATGTTGACCATGAATGAAATATGCTGTATGTAGAGTTCAGTGTATACCAGAATCAATATTAAACCATAAAGATAAAATACATACAAGATTTTCAATTGAAAATAAGCTGTTTTTTTTAACCAATAAAATGCTACTTTATGTAAAAATCAAAACATATGTACGACTGTGGGGGCTAGACCTGACCTAGAAATTGAACAGAACAAACCAAAAAAACAAACAGATCCATCAGCACACACTGATCCGAAGTGTAGACAATCTTGGTTTGCCAATTTGAGTCCTGTCTAGTGTTTATGTAGAAGTCCGTGACATTTAGGTGCTTTCAATACCAGTTCGGAATTTGGTTGATCTCAATCATAGGTTCCGAAATAAAAATGAGGTCCGGTTTGTGGATGGTATACATACTCTTCAGGGTCAATCTAGTGGGTATGTTACCCATCCCTCTCGCATTCCAATAGAGGACTTTCATGATTTGTTTTTAGTGTTGCCACCTTGAGACCTGGTGTTGTAAGTGACCCCCTCATTTCCAAATTTTGTTTAGTCATGTACTCCTAATCGTGACATTCTTGTTGTACTTCCAAGTTGCCCTGCTGAACAGTGTTCGTTTGTGTTGGAATCTGACAAAATTGATCTATGTTTTGATGCTTTGATTTTGTGTTCTGCTCCAAATGAACCTTGACCTGCTGTATTTGATTTTTACTGGTTACTCTCTAATATGGATAGATGCTCTGTGTTATCCGTTGTGTCTGCATTGTACTTTTATGCTCCTTATAACTGAATGGTTAATGGATCATATTGTTATCATCCATGGCTGCCTGCTGAACTTGAATTTCTCCTAGTGCCAATGAGTCCATGCTTAAGATCAAATTTTTATCATCCATGGCTGCCTGCTGAACTTCAAATTGTTATCATCCATGGTCTTTTCCTCGTGGTCCTGATTTTCTTCTATGTGTAACTCTGGGTGTGGAATGCCCTATTGATCCATTGAATTTAGTACCTCAAATATAGTTTTTTGAGTTTACATGACAGGAAATCCTGCTGCTTCTTTCTGCTGACTTTCCTCTGGTTTTGGCTGCACTTCATGCTAGTTATTATTTTGCTGCACTCATGAATGTTATGCCCAGGAATCTGACAATTATGGCAAAATGCAGGCAGTCACTCATAGATTAGTTCTATCACAAAAGCAAATGATGTTCCGAAGAGTTGGGTAGTTGTTTTTGCTTAGGATCTGTTGCTTCCTTTATTATTAACTTCATTTAGTTATAATCTATTAGTTACCGTGCAAATGAAGGTAAATAGGGGAGACATATATACGTGTAGAATGTACCTTCTAACCACTTTATGGAATGTCATTGGCACAATCTTTTGACTTCTGAGTGCCTCAATTTTCAAATTCATTTATTTTCTGCTTGTCTGATTTTTTTATTTATTTCCGATAGAGCTTGCAAGAGATGCATTAAATTCCAGAGGTTACTGCGTAATTGGAGGTTACATGTCACCTGTGAATGATGCATACAAGAAAAAGGTATGCCGCTGTCTAACAAAGAGAGAAAAATATCCTTACTTTATTAGATCCACATCTCTTTAGAATACTTGTCATTAAGTACATCAGATGATTTAGTTAAAACACATGTTTGGCTTGCGTGAGACACTGTAGTTATACTGGATTCAATGAGCAATCTATTGAGGTTTAAAACATTCCTTAAATTATTTTTCTCCTAGGCATTTAGACAAGAAGATTAAATTTTGAGATGATATTTGTCATGAAGCAACTTTCAGAAGCCTTACGTTAGTAGGTGAGAGTGCATTAATGGTTTACATCTAACACACCTTCTCACTCGAGCCCTTTTGACTTGAAGTGGGCAATGAAAGCATCAACGGTTGAACTCTAGAGTAGACCACTTGGCCATAGAGACTGATATCATATCATGAACCAACTATCTCAAAAATTCAGTTATTAAATGAAATATCATAATTGGTTTATATCTATTAACAACATTATTCATGTAATCATGATTTTTATTCTATCAGCCTACATATAGATTTCACAGCTTCCGTTATTTTTTCTAATCGTCTTTCACTTATATGTTAATTCAGAACCTAATATCTGCTAACCATCGAATACAATTATGTCATTTAGCCTGCAAAAGTTCAGAATTCATAATGGTTGATCCATGGGAGGTACATTACTCTTTCTATCTTCTAGATTTTACATATCTTTCTTTCTTTCTTTTTTTTTGCATGTAGAATACTTCAATATTGAAACATTTGAATTTTGAGAAAGTTTGATGTGACAACTATTGCAAGAGCCAAGAACTATATCAGTCTGGCTGGCCTTGGCCTGATTTCTTACATTTTATTTTATGTGGCTATAAACTCCTACAGGCAAACCAAAGTTCATATCAACGCACTCTAACTGTCCTGTCCAGAGTCCACACTTCTATTTGTGAGACAGGGTTGGTATCTAAAGGTATGCTTGACAGCCAATTCTTCAATAAGAGCACGTTAGTGTATTACCGTCTCAGCGTGCTTCCCCTTCCCATCGTAAATTAGAATCGGGGAAAGAAAGGGAAAGAAGAGACACCGGATTTCTTACTCTATTTTAATATTGAAACACTGATCACATTGATGACATTTGAAATAAAAAACATCTAGTTCTCGCAATTATGTTTTGCTTCTTGAATGGCTAGCATTACCTCTGATCCTAAATAGATGGCCTTCTTAGATATATCATTGTCTCTTTATATCTTAAGTTTTAAACTGTGTTAATTTTTTTTTTTTTACCAACGTACTTCTAAATATGTTGCATTTTTTTTCTACAACCTGTAACAAATATTGTGATGGAAACATAAACTAATTATCTCTCCTGAAGGGCAAACTTGTAAAAAAAAGTACCAATTGTCAACAAATTTAATACTCTGCTATCAAGTGTCTTAATATCCGTGATTTATGGGACTCATAACAGGCTGGGCTATTTGGTTATGTATTTGTATTAAACCCTTCAAAAGTAATCTGTATGTCGAGTGTCACAAGATGCGACTAGTCTAAAAGATGCATGAATAGTTTCTTTCACTTGATTTAAATTTTGCACTAAGGTTTAATTTCTTTGTATGCATATTCTCATGACGATATAACTTGCTTTTGTATTGATTAGTGTAGAATCTCTCAAAGTCATGCTTGTCTGTGGTTCTGATCTCCTCCATTCCTTTGCCGTTCCTGGAATATGGCTTCCTGATCAGGTACTTATGAATTAAGTAGAATAGAGAAATACAACTTCGTTTATATTTAAATCTAAGGGTACTATTTCTCTATGAACAAACTCCACCCGAAGAATTGAATTGATTTTATGATGTATTTATTTTTACAATTGGGAGGTTAATAAGTTAGGAGGTTTTACTTCTTCCAACCTAGATACAACTTACTAGTCATAGATGGAGTACAGATATATTTTCTCTATGTTAAGTGATTTGTCGTTTGTTATGGAAAAAGTGGACTATAATTTTGTCATTTTATATCTGTACTCTAGGTTAAGAGTATCTGCAGAGATTATGGAGTAGTATGCATTCGCAGAGAAGGACAGGACGTTGAAAAGACTATATCTGATGATGAAATTATGAATGAAAATCAGGTATTTTGAATGAGATACAACTTTCAAGCTTGTTGTATTTGGTTACATTTTATTTTCGAAACATGGTCTGCTATGTCTTCAATTCATTGCATTTTCCATGTTTTCTGTTGGAAAGCTTTAAAATGAATTGTTTTGCTAGCTTTAATACGAATTTAAATTTTCGACTACATTTTTTTAGGCTAATATTGAAATTGTAGATGAACTTGTACCAAATCAAATCAGCTCAACAAGAATAAGGTAATAATAATACTATCATCTTGTTTTACTTTAAGGGAGACATTTTTTAATTTTAATGTGTTCTTTTTATTATTAATTTCAGGGAATGCATTACAAGAGGATTATCTATAAAGTATCTTACTGCAGATGAAGTCATTGGTTATATCAGAGAACATAAGTTATATGCTTAAACTCAGATGATAAATAATTCCTCAATATTGGATATTAGATGCTTTATTTGCTATGCAAAAGTCATTAGGTACATAGCTACATACTGGGTCTGTTTTCAACAAACAGTTGATTTGATGTTGTAAACTTGTAGGTAAATAAATATTCCACAATTCACAAGGTAAATGCAAAATTTAAGAGAATAATTGTAGTTATAAGCTTTAACAGCTTAACATAAGTACAATCAAAGATTAAGAATCGAAGTGATAGGGTTATAACAGCTTAACATAATTCCAATGTATATACTTTGCAGGTGTAGGTGTGTCATTATCGTGAAAATGATTCTCAGAACTTTCTCTCATTCTTTGTTCCTAATGGTTATATCATCAATCCTTTTTTTTCCAGTCATTTTATCATTAACCCAATCATCCTCATATATTTTCCATCTTTCGACCATGTGAACTCTCCATTTTTTCCCATCTTTCGACCATGTGAACTCTCCATTTCCATGATAAAAGTTACCCTTAAAGCGACCAATATAGACATCCCAGTTTGCATGTCTATAAACTCCAAACCTCTTAAGTCCATTTGACCAATGACTATAAAAAACATCACCATTAGCCAATTTTATAATTCCTTTTTCATATGTTTTATAGTTTTCCAATTTCCAATGTGAATAGCTCAATCCTTCCAAGTAGAGGTGCCATTACCATGACGACAATTTTAAAAGTGTGACTTGACAGATCCTTTATAGTGTAAAGTCATAATTTAGTCAATTCAAAATGAAAAACACAATAACCAATTTTAAAAATAATTCAGTTGTGTTTATAGTATTGTTCATTTTGAATCAACTAAATTATGTAAAACAACATGAATTTCTTTTCAAAATTGAGCAGTTTGGTTAAACTAATTTCTGGCGCAGAAGGGACACATGTTAGACACAGTGTCTCAGCATGTGGGTGGACATTTGAGCCCTGCACATATAGGGCAGATTGTTGCGTGTTTGAAAAAAAATTTTGTTGAAGATTTGATTATTTGTTATTTTGAAAAAATCTTTTGTTGAAGATTTGATTATTTGTTATTGCTATTATTTAGCAATATGATTAGATGATTTGTTGGACAAATGTGAAGTTCAATTTAGATTTAAATGGAGATTTAAAATTGAATTTGAAACAAATCAAATCATATTTTTGTTGTTGGAGATATTTGTGGAACAAATCATATACAACTCATTGTGTATTATTTCTGGATGAAATCAAATCAAATATCCATGAAGAAAACTCTCGAATTATTATGCTATATAAGATGCTCAAAACCTAGCTTTGGAATCAAGCATTCACGCAATATTAAAGATCATTACACTGTTATGGTTTAGGCAAGTCCTTATTTTATTTTATGTACACCACACTATCTTTCAGTAATTTGGCATAGTTGTAGCATTGTCTAGTTGAGTTGTAAATTCAATATCATAGTCATTGTTAACTAAATATTATCACTAGGGTTTAGAGAATGAAACACTAAGGAGTTTAGTGTTTGAAGAAAGTGAGAGGGTGCTGAAGCGGTAAAGCGGCAATCAAAAATTAATTAAGTACCCGATTTTGTCATCTCTACATGGATCGATTCGAGGGAAAGAATTTCGTTTGACAATCTCTACATATCTAAACTTGTTTTAAATGGTTTTCAAAGGTAACATGCATAAATTAAAAGCGAAAAGCAAATAAATAACACATTTTTTAGAAAGGAGTAACTCATCAGGAGTTGTATATCCTTCTACCCATCATGTACGAAAAGAAACCTACGATCAACTGCACTCACTCGAATACTCATCAAAACCCCAACGTATCACTCACAAATAGAGGTTATGTCTAACGCAAAGTTCGAGAGATCAACCGTGTTCTCTCGAAGGTGGTGTCTCACGCTACAAAATAACACATAACATTAAGATCTGACACACACACACACTCGAATATTTAGACCATTTTCCATAGCCAATAGATCATTATCATAGGTCGAGTTTAAAAAGTGTATGTCTACAGCGATCCAAAACCCATTAAGATGGATATTAAATCAAAGATAACATTGTAAAAGGGATTTTATACAAAGATCCATAGATGAACATACTATTTTAGATTGGGGCAGTACCTGCCCCACCATCGGACAGACCCAACCCAATACTACGTTGGGGAGATCCAGCAAGGTCCAATTCTCTATAACGTCGGGCACGCTCAGTACTCTCTGCACGGGAAGAACTCATGCATCTTTCCCACGTTCTCCATGTGTTCCCCACGCGATGACATGTCATCAGGAAACTACATGTGTCTTAAAGAACCGGTCTTCTGCCTTCTAAGGATCACACGACAGTTGGATCAGGGTGAAGACCACATGCTGGTCTTCCATACGCCACGCAGACTCTGACAGTTACTTGTGTTGGGCCTGGAAATCCAGCCCAATGCAATGTAACCGTTGGCCCAATGCTGGGGGCACATTATAAATGCCCTATTTCACTAGAGGGTCAGGTATTCTAAATTCTACACCTTCTTTCTGTACTTACTCTATCTTACTCCGTTTCTCATTTTAGCATCGGAGTACCTTGCAGGTACTCCCTCTCCGTTTTTAGAAATTATGAAATTTTTTCTAGGTTTCACTATCTTCTCGCTAGGATGCACTACACGAGAAAGCTACTTTCTACAACTTTGGATATTCTATTTACTCACGCATGGAGCTCGCTTTTGACTCATTGTGAAAAGATCTCGATTAGACTTCGCTATGAGCTCTCTTAACGAGGTTGCAGGGGATTTTCTTTCTTGCTTTGTGGTCCAACCCTTATAATTTGCACCAATACCGACAAAATGAATGTAAATCAAGAATAACATGTATAAAAATTTTGTTATCCTAACAAACTCTTATCTACTAAATAATTGGAGATTTGCTACTAGAAACTTGCAACCCAAGTTAATAAGTGCCTAAATTCAATGTGTTCAATTACTATATTTTGGCATTTATCAGTGATCTTCCAGTGAAGAAAAAATTTGATTGATAAAGACCTTTTTAAGTGGAAGACTTGTAAACTGTGATTTAGAAAGGTGTTGGTGGACCTCTAGGAGTCCTATTGATAAACTTTTTGAATTTGTTTGTTTCTTAGTCCATTTTACATGACGTGGACGACCCGATATTAAAATTCTAGTCGATAATCTTCCAGTGAAGGAAATAATCGGTTAAGAAGGACCCTTTACACTGGAAAACCTGTTAACTGTGATCTAGGAAGGTGGTGGTGGACCTTCGGGAGTCTGATTGATAAATTTTTGAATTTGATTGTTTCTTAGTCAATTTTACACGATGTGGACAATCTGATATTGAAAATTCTAGTAAGTGATCTTCTAGTGAAAGAAAGAGTCGGGTGAGAATAACCATTTATACTAGGGGTGGAAAATTTTGAACCGCCAATTTAAAATCGACCGACCCAATGTCTTTTTGGGAAAACGGGTCAGATCGGGCGTCAGGTTGATCTGGTTGCTTAATTTAATTTGTATAGGGTTGTTTCGATTGTGCTCGAATTATTATTTTTAACCTATCGAAAATTGAATTCGATCGAACTCAACTAATATTTATTTTATTTATTTTTCTTACTATAGAGCTTGCTCATTATGAAATGAGGTTTATAACATTGTCAGATTATTATCATTTTTATAATTTAATGGTGTCATTGTGTACTCATAAGAATATAGGACATGCAATATAAAAATTTGAGTGTTATTTAATTTGTGGTTTAAAGTATGATATTAACCAAATTAATATGAAATGGTATTGAAAATGTTATGGCATAATTATATTATTTTTTCCAATGATAAAAAGATAGATCCTTCTTTGGAGTATTTGATAATTTTTTTAAAAAAAATATTTACAAAATGAATGTTAGTGAATTTTATTAAACAATAGGTTATTTTGACAGGTTTTAGCACAATAAATATTAAACCGATCAAACTCACCTAATTAATTCGTCGAAGCGATTTAATCGAATCTGTCAAAAGCCAAAACTTTATCGATCGAAATCAAGCCTTTAAAATGAAATTACGGTTTGCATCAGGTTTACGTTTTGGATCCAATACTAGATCAAATCGACCGATTGTCCAACCTTACTTTATACTGGAAGACCTATGAATTGTGATTTGTGAAGGTAATGCTGGACCTTTGGGAGTCCGGTTGATATATATTTTTTAATTTGTTTGTTTCTCAGTCAATTCTACACGATGTGGAGGATCTGATATTGAAAATTCTAGTCGGTGATCTATGAGCGTAGAAAATAGTCGGGAGAGAAGGACCATTTATAGTGGAAGACATGTGAACTATGATCTGGAAAGGTGATCGTGGATCTCCGGGAGTCGGATTGATAAATTTTTTGAATGTGTTTGTTTCTTAGTCCATTTTCAACAATTTGGACAATCCGATATTGAAATTCTAGTCGGTTGAGAATGATCCTTTATAGTAGAGGACATGTGAGCTGTGATATATAGGAAGGTGATTGTGGACCTTTGAAAGTCCAAAAAAAATTGATGAAAATTCAATATTTTTTTTTGTTTTTTATTCCATTTTACATGATATGAACGATCATATATTAAAGTTTTTAGTCGGTGATCTTTCAGCAAATGAAATATTTGATTGAGAAGGACCCTTTTACGTGAAAGATTTGTAATCTGTAACTTGAAAATGTGACGGTGGACCTCCAAGACCCTAAGAGCATCTTTAGTGGGAGTATCTTAAGGGAGTAAACTAAGATATTTTTTGTGGACCCAAAGTGATTTGTAGGATTTAAAATTTTTATAGTTGATTTGAGTTGTTTTTACTTTAATGATAGTTACTTATAAAAAACTAAAATTTAACCCTATATTTTATATTTATTAATTGTAATTTTTTTTTTATTGAAGTTACCATTAATTTTGTAATAATCTTATATGTTTCAAAATAAATAGCATACGTTAGATATATAATTGCCGGAAACTAAAAGTTATTGAATTAAATGTCATGT